GGGGGGGAAGAAGGGGGCTTACCCTTGTTGGAAGCCATTTGTGTGGTGGAGTACTGTAGTGGATGTAGCAAAGTGTTGGTGTTGGTGGTGGTGGTGGAGGTGGAGGAGGAGGAGGAGGTGGTGTGTGTGGGGGGGGGGTGGGGGTGGGGGTGGTGGTGGTGGGGTTGTTCGGTTGGGTCGCATTGTCCGCAGGTGGCCACGTCACGACGCCAGGTGCACACCGGGATTCAGACGCGGGACATGACGGGGCGGGAAGGACTAAGATTTGGGCTTTACCGCGGGCGATGCTTGCGGATGAGGTTGAGGGCGGTGAGAGTGGCGCGTTGGTTGCCGGAACGGATCTTGTTGACGAGGACAGGAATCGAGGCGTAGCCGGTGAGCAATGGCACACCGATGCCGGAGAGATAGTCGACGGCGGCCGAGATGTTGGCGTAGTACTCGGCGTCAGTCGAGGGCGCGGCAAAGAACTGAAAGACCTGCGACTTGACAAATGTCGGGTAACAGAACTGGACCACGAGGTTGAGCACAACGCCCGAGGTGTAGTCCGAGGCCGGATCGTCGACCCGCAGGCTGGGCTTGCCCATCGAGATGAACAGCTTGTTGGTCCACTTGGTCATGACCAGCATGGCCTGCGCCTCGACCTGCCGAGCTGCAGCGGCGGCGGCGGTTGCGTCGTCGTCCGAGTCGTCGTCTGACGAGGAATCGTCGTTGTCGGCCGGAGTCGGGGCCGGGGCTGGAGCCGGAGCAGGCGCAGCGCTGTTGGACGGCGACGACGGCGCGGGAGACGGCGACGATGGTGACGCCAGCGGCGAGGCCTCGACCGGCGTGCGGACGACAAAGAGGCGGGTCGAGTCCTCAAACGAGGCAAACTCAAACGGGGCAAAGATGCCATGGTCCATCAAGCTCTGGCAGTAGAGGGTGACAGCGCGGCGGTCGGGCGTCTTGAACCTGCCCACAAAGTAGTTGACAGCGTCCATGCCGCGGAAGAGCCGGTGCTGCTTGACCGACAGCGTCTCGTCACGAAACGTGACTGAGAGACGCATCTTGTCGATGAGGCGGAAGAGCTTGTCGCCAGCGGGAATGCCATCCTCGTGGAGGGTGTAGAGGGTGACCCGGTCGTCGCGCATGGCGAGCGGCTGCCCATTGGGCGCGGCTTCGACGGCGCGGAAGACACCACGCGCGAGCAGAACGTTGGCGACCGAGGCTGCTGCCGCTCGGTCGTTGTTGGGTCGGAGCGAAGCTAGGAAAGAGATCATGGCAAAACCGTTGAAGACGTCGTGGCAGGTGCGATGGATGGTCTTGGTGTAGAGGTTGAGCGACGAGACAAAGGCGTCAAAGGCAGCGGCGTCCCACACCGTCTCCGCCGCCGATCTCGGCACGCCGCCGGCCGACAGCGGGCGGTGGGTCGGATTGCCAGGGCGGACGCCTGGACCGAGCCGGTTGCGCATGTCCGGGCGGGAGGCCGGTGGCGGAGTGGATGATGAAGGCGACGACGAAGCACCGGGTGCATCGGAAGCGGAGGGCTCGTTCGCGCCGAGAGCCACCAGGTCGTCAATCGAGCCGACAACGTCGTTCTCGGCGTTGCGCTTAGCGCGGGCCTTCAGCGCGCGTGCGCGGGCCGACGAGAGCGATGCGTGCCGGGCCATGCTCTTGGTTCGCAGCTTGCGGTCCATTTCCTGGGCGTCGGCGTAAAACTCGGCGTTGGAGTGAAGAGACGCGGTCTCAAGCGCAAGCTCGGGTGCGCCCGTCTCGACCGAGTAGCCAGCAAACTGAGGCGCGATGGCGGTGACGGCAGCAACGGCATTGTCGAGCACATCCGGCGACGGCGGCGGATTCTCGACAAGCAGAGCGATGGTGTCAATGGTGGCAACAAGGTCGGGCAGGACGGCACGCGTCTCACCGGGCGCCGGGCTGTCGGTGGCAGCATCGGCGGCGATGCCGTCACGGCAGCGAAAAAAGTGCTGGTGGAGGAGGGCGAGCTCGCGCTCGAGGTCGATGCTGTCGGGCGTACACCGCTCGAGCGCATGGGTATCAACGATGCGCGGCGCCGAGTCTGGAATGGAGGCAACGGCGTTGAGGAACTGGCGCATCTCATCCATGCGGCCCTCGATGAGCTCGTTCATCGGCGCCATGTACGGCTCCTTGGGACCAAAGGTCATGAGGTTGGCCAGGTTCTGCAGAGTCTTGGCCACAAGGGTGAGCGAGCGCGCGACCGTCGGCGAGGCGAGCGTCTCGGCGAGGCCGAAAAGGGTCGGGCCGAGAATGGCGGCACAAAAGAAGCGGAGGAAGAGAAAAGCCGAGACAACAGTGTACGGGGTGACGTTGTTACCCGGAAACGAGTCGAGAACCTCTTGCTGGAGAAAGCCAAAGACGATGCGGAGCGGGAGCGGCATGGCATCGACCGAGTTGAAGATGGCGTCGCAGACTTCGTTGGCAACGGTCTTGAGGTAGTGCCAGTTGCGGTCGAGGTCGTCGTCGGGCCCGAGGCGACTTGGGTCGACCTCGAGCGGCAGCGACGTCTTGTATAGGAAGGCGATGGGCTTGTAGAGGACCGAGTGCAGGTAGTCCATGCCGATGAGCTTGAGGTACGCGTCGTTGACCTTGGTGGCGATGGTGTTGCCGCGAAAGATGATGGCTGGATCGCTGGTGGCGCGGACCTCGGCCTGATTGAGCGTGTTGAGGAGCCAGACGGCACGGCGGCGGGCGGCAAAAACGTTGACAAGCGCACGGGCAGCGTCCTCGCGGGCGCGGGTGTGGCTACCAAGCGCGGCAATCGCCCGTAGCTTGGGGTCTTCCATCAGGTACACCAGCGGTGCGTAGTGGCGCAGCGAGAGGATGCGGTCGGTGACCAAGAGCGTCTTGAGGCGGATAGAGCCGAGTGCGCCGGCGCCCGACGGAAGCGCCATCGCCACTTGCGACATGCCCGGGAGGACCTCGCCGAGGGTGAGCCACAGCGGGGTGACTTGCGCAGAGGCGAGCGAGTGGCGGAGAGCCGGCGACTTGAAGTCGACGTGCGCAGCGCCCATGAACGCACCGTTGGCCAGAGTGGCGGCAGCGTAAGCCGACGAGCTGGCGGCCGCCTTGTACGCTGCGAGCATGTCGAGATACTCGGGCGCGAGACCGAGTTCGTCGGCGACTGCAGGCGGCGGATCGAGAAAGGCTGGCGCAGGGAGCGTTGTCATGCCGCGCGGCGTGGTAGACCAGACCGAGACCGAGAGGCGCGAGGTGAACGAGGGCGAGTCGATGTCGACGCCTTTTGGGAGCTTAAAGGCAAAGAAAGTCTCGTCCTCATTCTCGGCACCGTCAGCGACAAAGACCGGATCGAGGCTCGACTTGACGACCTTTGTCTTGGCCTCGACGCCGACAAACGAGAGCGAGACATAAGGGTGGGCGGTGCCGTCGACACGCGGCGCGAGACCGACCGCTCTGCGGACGCGAACAAAGATCATAGCAGGATCGGAGAGCGAGGCTGGAGTGTGCTTGAGCTCGAGCAGAAGCTCGCCGTGGATAAAGGCACCGCCGAGGGTGATGCGCGGGAGAGTAAGCGGGTACCAGGCCTCGATGTGGCCCGACTCGAGGGTCGAGTGCGCCGGGTCGAGCTGGTCGTGGGTGGAGAGCGACACGGCGGCGATGGGATACGGATGGCGGGCAGCGGTTTGAGCATAGAGAGTAAGCCTGACACAGCGCGAGCCGAAGCGTGTGTCGAGCGGGACGACAAACGACTCGCCCCAGAACGGAGCCTGTGAGGCGTCGGCCGTCACCTGCGTCCACCTCGCCAAGCCATTGCCGGTCTCGCACACCTCGACCTGTCCGCGAACCGTAGCAGGCACACCCTTGGCCGCCGACACTGTCACCGCAAGCGTTGTTTGCGTCCGCACCCGCGCCAGCGGCGGTTGCCACTCGTTGCTATGTGCAGCCATGGCGATGGGTGGTGGCGGTGGCAGACGCAGGTGGTTTTTCGGTGCGTTGCGATCATTTTGATGAGAGCAAAGATTACTGAGCGGTGGGGGGGGGGGGGGTGGGGGGATGGGCGGGCACGGGACGTCGGCGGCTGTCGAGCGGGTCCGCGCCAAGTAAGCGTTCTCGGGGACCAACCACGATGAGCTCGACTTTAGCAAGGGCGAAACCATCCTTATCCACGTCATCAACGACTACGGTTGGGCGCTGGGAGAGATTGGCTTTGGCACTTGACTCGGCCGGCTGCGGCTGATCGCGGCTTGCTCCGCGACTGATCATCATTGGGGAGTATGGGATGGGTGATGGACGAGCGAGGCGTGCATTTGTGGCGTGACGATGGGGCGATGGCGCCGGATATCCGTGGCGATGCCGACAGGAGGCGATGGGCGGCGGTCGGCGATGAGGATCTGGAGGCGGCGTGGAGGCGGGCGCGGGCCGAAGCTGACATCCGCAGACGCATCGATCGCGGCGAGCTGGCACTTTCATGGACGCGGTGGGCTGGTATGATGGCACGAGAAGCTACCCGTGGCTGTGTGGCTTGGCTGGTGGCGCCGGTCGGTAAGGCGCGAGTCAAGGGCTCGGAGGCCGGCATTGAGGCCGACGACGGCGGCGAGGCGAGCGAGCGTGGGCAGAGTCTGGGGCTGACCGGCGCCGGTCGGCAACAAGTACGCGCTGGTGTGGCAGTGTGTGTTTTTGTTGTGGTCGTTGTGTGTGTCCTGTGGCTTGCGCTGGTGCGACCGAGTGGCGAAGCGTACGTGCGGTGGCGCGGCGAGAGCGGCGACGGTGGGCAGATGGGCGCAAGTTCTGCATCGGTGACAGTGGCGTGCGTGGCAACTGCGAGCAGGTTCCCGCCTCGAGTGGCGAGCGAGGCGGCGAAGCGGGCGCGGGCGTACTGCGCACGGCACATGTACACGTGCGAGGTCGATGTGGGCGTCAAAGCGGCGTTTGGCCTCCACGGCCATGTGCTACAGGCGCGGGCTGTGGCGAACTGGTACGCCAATGCCAGCACCGAGTGGCTCATCTGGCTTGACGGCGACGCGCTTGTCGCGCGGCTCGACGTCTCATGGCCTACGATGCTGGCGGAGCTCGACGCGGGTGCCGATGCCGGCCTTGTTCTTGCCCGCGACTACCGCGGGCCGTCGACCGGGGTCCTCGCGTTGGCGCGTGCATCGCCGCTGGCGGCCGAGATTGTGGCCAGCCTCGCACGTGCAGGCCCACACGCTAGCCTGGGACAGCTAGTCCGCGGCGAGCTCGGGGCTGGCGACGGGGTGGCGTGGGTCTCGCAGCGTGGCCTCGCCGGGTACCCGGCTGCCGCGCTTGATGGGGCCGTCTATCTCGCGGGACACTCATTTACGGTGCATCTCGGACGGGTGTGCGGCCAGCCGCCATGGGATCGCTGCCTGGAAGCACTCGATGAGGTAGTGGAGGGAGTGGGTGGGTTAGGGTGAGGAGCTCGCCACACTCAGTTGCGGCGCATCTTGGAAATGAGCGACTTGACCTTTGTGCCCGCGCCCGAACCGAGGTCTGCGCCCTCCTGCTTCTCGATGGCGTTCTGCTCGCGGATGGCCTCTGCCACGATGGTCTGGTTGATTTCTAGGACCAGGCCACCCATGACCATTTCGTCCAGGATGTAGTGGACTCTGTCTGCGTGGAAGATGATGTCCAGCTCCGAGACGTTCTCAAAGCACGCGTCGAGGGCCTCGACAAAGGCGTGGATGAGGTCGAGAATACCGAGGTCCGACTCGGACGAGTCAACCACAAAGATGAAGAAGAGCGTGGCAAAGTTACGGTAGATGATCTTGGACTATGAGGTGGTGAGTGGGTTGGTGTGTGTGGGGGAGTGGGGGAAGGGTGGGTGGGGGAAGGAGGGCTGGGGGGGGGGGGGGGGT